CCCTCGCTCCCTCCCCACCTCCCTCAATCCCCCCTCCCCTCCTTCCTCCCTCCCCTACCGATCCTCTGCCTCACTTTCAGTGACCCCCTTTTGATTCATACTGCCCACAGTGTCATGATCCTCCTCCTCCTCCTCCCCTTTCCTTCCCTCCCTCTCCCCTCCCTCCCTCCTCTCTCCCTCTCCTCACCTTTAGCGACCACCTCTTGATTCGCAATGCTCACAGTGTCATGATCCTCCTCTTTAAACTCTACCTCAGCGATGAGCAGCACGGCCGCCAGGATATAGTACACGTCTTCCTCCTCCTGTAAAACACACACAGATCGAAGTGGATTATGTTGTAGTTTTTTGCTCTGCATTATTTTGTTTTATGTTATTGTTGTTGTTTTTGTTATTTTTGAAAATTTAAGGCAAACGTGGCAGGGGTAGGCCCAGACCAACATACTTAGGGAACCTAAACAAATGGGTAACAGGGAAAGATCAGGGAAACGTAGCTTTTTTTTAGAGCACCCGAGCAAAGGAAGGAATGAAAAACCATGATCACCGATGTCTGTCGCAGATCTGGTACTGGATGATGATGATGTTGTTGTTTTGTTTGTTTAGTTTTTGGCTTTGTTTTGTTTCGTTTATCTGGTTTGGTGGGTGGTTGGCGGGTGGTCTAGTGTGGTTTGCTCCTTCTTTCCTATAAAAAAATGTAAAATATCGTCTCTATCTCCCCTCCTTCTTTGTTTTGTTTGTTACTCCCTTGTAGCACGACCTCTAATCTTCGGCACTTATATGACTTTATTGTGTTGCAAGTGCCGTAAAACTATTACTAAAACTTAAATTAAAACGGTTGGCGGGGGGGGGGGGGTGTTGTTATAAGTATTCATATATCGCTGGTCTAGAGCAATAATGTTGTAACTCCAAAAACATCAATTTGAGATGATTGTGAAGAGATTGATCGATTTTTAATTCTAATAAAAAGTTTAAAAAATCGTGTGACATACTACAATTTTGCTCACAATGGTAATGGAAGTTACAACAATTTTGCATTAGAAACTCAGCTTTATGATTCGAATTTGGGGTTTATATTAATTTTGCACAAAGAATGGCTCTTTGTAGTTTAAAAGATAGTAACAACCTTATTTTCAACATTAATTTGGAGTTACAACATTATTGCTCTAGACCACCGATATGACCTTAGAGCATGCATCAGAATACCATTGAGTTACAATCAGATCGCTGAGTATGTATCTAGCTTAAGATTATTATTGTTTATATTGTTATTCATCTATATTATGCATGCGATTGTAAGCCTGCGTGTGTGTGCGTGTTTGTGTGTGTGTGTGTGTGTGTGTGTGTGTGTATGTGTGTGTGTGTGTGTGTGTGTGTGT